ACACTGAATTTTGTCTATTATTTCACACAAACTCTTCATTGCATTGAATTTACTCTTCATTTCAATCAACGAAACAGTTATTAATTTTGAACACATTTTCAAACAATAATTAAAACACAATTTAAATACAAAATGTAATTTATATTTGAAATACACTGAAACTAAATGGAAAAAGAAATGAAAATTTACTTTAAACCAAATGTTACATTTGAAATGTATATCGTTTACAACACGTGTTCTCATTGATAATGAAAACCTGTTCACAAAATTATTTAAACTAAGTTTTCAGATATAGTGAAACATCTTGTTAGATTTCCTATACTTATAATGTTAATGTAAAGTTAAATTTTCGTTAGGGAAACTTCTCCATAGGAAACGAATTTGTAAAAATTTAGGCATAATAAGCATTCTTTATAAGAAACAAGCTAATATTTTACAAAATATTAACAATATTTAAAGTATATTTTTAAAACTAAAATTGAACATAAAATATATATTTTGAATTAGTTTAACTCAAAAAGAAACTGTTAATTGTTATCATAGATAGCATAAAAGAATAACAAATTTAATATTATGTTTAACGTGTTTATATACGAACCTCCCTTCGAGAAACCCTCCCTATAATTAACACTTTTACCAAGCAACTGGTCGTATCTTATAAAGAGATTTAATTGTATTATAACTAAATATATAACATAATAAAAATCAATTGCATTTTATAAATAGAACTAGAAGTAAATTAAAATGTTGTAAAAGTTTTAACGAATTTTAGTAAAATATTTTTGTAGTTATTATTGTATTTCTTTCAATTCAACAATAGACAAATAAATTATAAAAATATTTAAACAGTAAAATTTTATTATCATTATTATTATTTTGATATCATTTTTAAATTATTTACAAAAAGTATTGTTTCCAAAGGCCATCACATGTAGTGTCGTATGGATTGATAAATACATTGGGTTTTGGGTTTGGGTTCAGGTTTTTCACATTAATTGTATTTCCACTCAATAATTGTGGCCACTCTTCGCTTACGGTTGGTTTGCTAT